ACGTCTGACTTCCTTACAATTTACCCCCATGCCAAAAGCAACTGTAGCTATGAGAACACGCAAGTGACTCTCAGTGGCAGTCATGTTTTTTATCACATGGTCTTTCACAGACTGTGGTGTGCCAGCATGAAACATTTCCACTAACCGATTCGGTGGTAGAGCTGCACCATTATACATGTTTTTACCAAGATTTATTTCAAACATACGAAACAGCAAGGAGCATTGTTTCCTAGTTTGACAGTAAATCAGGGTTCTTTCAGTTTTGCATAAAACTGTTCGAAGTTCAGTTATAAGTTTGATGAATACATCTTTTAGACTTCTTTGTTTATCCATGTAGGACAATATGTACATTAAATTGATTCTGTTAGGGTTTTGTTCCACTGTATGTAATTGATCTGCAGTAATGTCGAGACTTTCGAGAATTTGAGACTTGGTTGCCTTTGTTGCTGTGGCTGTTACAATGATAATCTTGTTATTTTTTGGAATCAGGGATCTGATTTCACCAAGACAACCAAACCATTTCCTGAAAGGTACCTTTTTATTTCCAGACAATCCCCTAGTAAAAATAATAAACAAGTAAACCTTAAGCCAGTTACAGACGAGCAAGTTTTCTATGACAAGTTTTTATGTGACAAGTTTTTCTATGACAAGTGCACTTGTTCAAAATCCAGCATGCTAGCTTTTGAACAAGTGCACTTGTCATAGTACAGATGTTGTTCATCTGTGTGGGTCAACAAAGAAAACTTGTCAAAGTAATCTGAGCATTTGATGTGATTGGCCAGCGGACTATTACAATTTTTCTGTCATGACGGTGATAAACACCTTTTGCTGACACGTCCACACCAGTAAATAAAACTTGTCATATGAATACTTGTCATATAAATTTGTTGCATATACACACATGCACTTATCAAATAAAACTTGCTCGTCTGTAACCGGCTTTATTCTATGTACGAAAATACAAATGAAATGTTCCTGGAAAAATAGAACTATAAGAGAAAAAATGACATATTTTATTGTGATTAATATTAATTCACAATAAAATATGTGTCATTTTTTCAATTTGTTCTGGGACAAATATTATATCTGGACAAATATTATATCTGGAGTATAGATATGTAAAAACTTACCAGTGAACAATACAGTGAGCTTCATCGATAGCTACTCCTATTAGTTTTGATGTGAAATCAGTATCTGAAAATATATCTCTCCACGTTTTCGATGACAGGAAGCACTCTGGTGAGCCATAAACAAGAGTATAGGTACCATTTTTAACTTGCTGAATAATTTCAGGGTCAGCACTTAACTCGTCAACGATAGCTACAGCAGGTATACCACGATCAAGAAGGTAGTTCACTTGGTCTTTCATGAGTGCTTTCAACGGTGATATGACCATAAGAACACTTGTTCCTCGAGGGTTGCCATACAACGAGTCAAACACGAACGGCAAACTCTGGAATATCATGGATTTCCCAGCTCCAGTTGGCAAGCTGACGAAAATACTGACATCTTTTTCAATAAAAGCCTTAATTGCTTCTTTTTGTTCTGGAAATAAAGTTTCTATCTCAAATAGAGCCTCTACGGAATAAAATGCTTCTTGCCAAGAATATTCACCAAATACCGCCGCCATTTTGACAAATAAATAAAATAATTTATTCTAGTATAGAAATAAATTAACTCCAACAGACCAATGAAACGGCTGTATCCTGTAGCGACCAATCACAGTGGACTATCCAGATTCTGGATAGTAACTACGTCACAGAACACGATTAACTGCGCTAATTCATAGTCTGTGTTTAGCACTTATCACATTACAAACAGACTATGTCGTCTCGTCAGACTGATTACCATTGTTTCAAGGAAGTAAATATTGTGTTCTCAAAACTATACTGCAGGCTCGTATCTCGTAGCTCACCTGCCTTACACTTCATGTAACACATAGTATATTGGTATAAAACATGGTTGCCATTTCGTATTTTTCTAGAAACTTTTGTTGGTCGACCTCAGTGTATTGTTTTATGTTTACACTAAAGAAGTTATGCCAACAAAAAGTAGTTTCAACAGAATGCACAATTGCGAATATTATGCGATTTTTGGAACATTATTACAACAATGACACTGTCACAGTGATATATGAAGGTAAAATCAGTGATGTTGAAACTTGAAAATGAATTGGATTGCTTATATGAGAGACAGGTAAGTTTCAGTTGTATGTCTTTTCATATGGTACAGAAATGCCAACTTGGAAAGTAAAATAGTGGTGTTTATGGACATCTGAGATATGCTATAACATAAGAGTATGTCTTTTGAATATAAAAGACCCAAAAAATATCACATCCAAAATGTTTTGTTATCTCTTTACAAAACATAACCAAAATGGGTAAAATATTAGCTATATTTGCCATTTTTTGATAGGCGGTCATATTCAATGGGGCCAAAAAACAGCATTTTGGATGTAAATTTAACTTTTTTGTTATTTTTAGGTTAGGGAAAGATAAAACTTACTACAAATAATTCCCGAGCCGGCGGCGCGAAGCGCCGTGCGAGGGTACTAATTCCCCCCAGCTATTTACACCCGGGGAAACGAAAGCATTAGCCATGTCTAAAGTTCATCAAATATCGCGGGCGTGACCAACGAACTTGAGTGGGTGGTCATCCTCACTGATCTAAAAAATATGGCGGACTGTCATGGATAGCGAACACTGATTGGTCAAATTTAAAATTTGTTGTTGTATGACAAATGACGACTTCAACTGACAGATACTTCATGAAAATAATTTGCTTTTTACACTACAGTATTTTGTACGTTTGCAAAAAACTTTGACAGCTTTCAAAGCAATTTGTTCCATAAAAAGTTTAATAAAACAATTACGGTATCAAATACCAATTGAAAAGATATGGAGCCAAATGAAGAGCGACAAGGAAACGACAAGAAAGCCGAGCGTCTAGCGAAAAGGGGGGAGCGAAGACGACAACGTTTGCTCGAGGAGACTGCTGAGGAAAGAGAAGCTCGCCCGGGAAAGCGTAGAGAAGCATTGAAAAAAAAGACTGCTGAAGCGAAAGGTAAACAAAGGCTTGTCTTCACAACGCTATGTACCAATGATACTGTAGCTATACAAGTTGAAGTATGATTTTTTTTCTGTGTTGGTGTTGTGTACTCAGGTGAATAATATGTTTGCGATGTTACTCTGAGTGCATATCCACACCGGGCGAGCTTGAAAAATATGCCCGGCCACGGTGGGATTCGAACCTACGACCTTTGGAATACTAGCCCAATGCTCTTCAAGCTCGCCCGGTGTGGATATGCACTCAGAGTAGCATCGCAAACATAAGTTGAAGTATGATATTCGACCCTCTATATTCGACTATTTCTTCACAATTTTCCAATAAAGAGTTTGTCATGACACGCTCAAGTCAGTATAACCAGACTGTATTTTATTTATATCAGTTATCACAGCCACAGGCAATTTTATGCTGTCAAATACCGTCGGTTGCAACTAAGGGTGAACAGTTGCAGATAAAACATTCTCTATTCTCATTAAAAG